CTCCTCCACGAGTCCTCGGATAAGTCTGAGGCCAACACGAAGGACGATGATGATGACGAGGAGAAGGAGGAAGAGTCTGACAGTTAACAGATGAGGGGAAATGGGGGTGGGGGGCAGGGGAGAGGAGCTCTTTGCAGTTGAACACGCGTTGGGATGGAGATGTTGGAGCATCGCAGCACTGATGCCTCTTACTGCCTTAAAGTCCTTTTTCTGTTGCTGATCTCTTCTGGTTGATTTCAGGGGACTTCACTGATCATTCATCTTCAGTAGTTCTGCGTATCAGGAAATACAGCTCGCTCTCCTCTTTTGGGCTTTTATTTTTTGGCTTTTCCCCCCCCAAGAAGCAAAAGAGCACCTGGATGTGAAAGCTCCGGTGCTGGAAATAGTCCCCAAATATTGAAAGACTCCTCTGCTAGGAAACGATGTAAAACACAGCTTAAAACCATTTTTATTGACTGTTTTGTCGTAGCCCTTTTGAAAATGCTACTTAACTGAAATGTTAGTTAGGAAGTGACCCGCTGCATCCCCTAACACCTCTTGTCTGGTGGAGTTTGCCAGGTTCCTTGGCCGGTCAGGAGCTGTGGCCAGGAGAGCTCACAGTGCTCGCTACTGAAAAGGCAGAAATGTTGCAGAGCCCCTCCTGTATTTGGACATTTTGGGTGTTTTGTTCACCCTGTGGTAACTGCAGGGACGGGCGTTTCACTGAAACACGGCCTGGAAGTTCCAAGGTCATGTGAAACGGCAGCCAACCGCTTCCCGGGGTTTTGGGTGCCGATTCTGTGATCTGGGGCTGAGCCTGGGCCCGTGGTGCAACACGCGGTGCTGAAACGGGTCCTGGGGCCTTGGTTTTGGTACCACCCCTGCGCCAGGAGAGATTCCTCCTTGGTTTTGTCTGTATTTTGCATAAATACCTTCCATGTGGTGACACCTTCTAACCAGAGTTTGCACTATTTAAGTTCTCTTTTTATAAAAAGCCACGCTGTCACTTGTCCAAACGAGTCTTCTCCCCTGGAAAAGAAAACAATGCTTCAGGAAGGGGAAAAACAGCTCCATTCTCTGCAAGTACTTGCATCTTGTCCACTGCTGGATGTCTTCTCCCCGTGGTTTGCTTTATGGTATAAGAAGTGTATATTTTCCACACTGTTTACTAACTTGCCTGGATGTTTGCTCTGTGGTCAGAAGCTGTTCATACCTGCTGTGTACATACTTTGTGTGTACAGGCGTTGCTGTTGTATACACGGGCTGGAACGTTGATGGTGTAAATATGGGGCATTGATGTAGGGTTTCAAACAGCGGGCGGGATGAGTTTTGGCTAGGAGGATCTCCTTTATATATACTCTAGGGGTTTTTAAATAAAAGGATTTGTAAATTTAGCCCTTACTGCTTGTAATATTTTTCTAGTGTCTCTCTTTGATTCTCCTGGAGCAGATGAACTCCCAGGGTATGCACATTTCCATGTTAAGGACTGGAATTACCAGTGGACGATGCTGTACGAGAGAGGCCGTGGGTGTGGGGGGTTCGGTCGCACCTTTCTTGCCCGGGTGCCTGGTTGTGTGTCCGGGCTGTGTGCCCCCAGCACAGGCAGGTTCCCCCTCAAGCACGGGGTCACTGTGGCTTTCGGTGGTGGTCAGTGAGGAGCAAACTGGCCCTGCTCTCTGTTCAGGCTGACAGAATTGGATGAAACCTGGCTGAAAATGCTTGGATTGAATCGGACAAAGCTGAACAAAGCTGAAAGTCCGGTTTGGGATGGGCTTTTTTCCCCTCAAAGAGGCTAGGAGCTGGTCCCCTCCTGGCCGCGATGGAGGGGACAGGGCCCCG